CTCCAGAGATCCTGTTCTACACCAGACCAGTGGAGCCAGACTGCAGCCAGAGCCCATCACCATCCTCATCTGATTGTAAGTAGGCAATCTAGTATATTATTAGTGACACTAATCTCTAATTTACCCTCACATTAACCCCTTAAGGACACAGCTTCAGAAGCTTGTTTTACGCTTAATGACACAAGCAATTTTTGCATTTTCTTGCTGTATGCGTTCAACTGCAATTTGCATCTCTCTCGTTTATTGCACCGACACATATTATATACTGTTTTTTAAAGGACATAAAGGGCTTTAATTTGATGTAACATATATATATATAAATGCTTATTTATTATTTAAAAAATACAGAAAAATGCAAAAAAAAGAAAAATTTTGTGTTTTTTGTACAGTTTTTGCAATAATAATGTGTGCCTAATTAGTGCAGGTTAAAGAAAGTAATTAAAAATAAATTTATTTAGTTGTTCTGATTTACAAAATATATAATGTGTCTGGGATTTAAAGTTTTTTTTGGTAGTTACAGGTCATAAAGCACAAGGAGTAAAATAAACTTTTAATGTAGAGCGATTTTAGAATTTTGTATGTTTGTCTTGTAAGCTTAATAGCCATAAAAGAAAACAAAATTGCCACACAAAAGTATATATTTATATAAAGTAGACATCACAGGCTATTGTCCTAAGGTTTTTTTGACAGTAGCCATTTCACCGCCAATCTCTGCTAAATATTGGAGTAAAATATAGTTTTTTGGAGTTTTTGGCACACAAACTTATAACAAAGAACTTCCCATGTATATTTTGTAAAGTTGGTGTGTGCTATTCCTGTACAAAGTTTTATTTTGTGTTCAGTTACTTCTGCTGAGTACAACGATACCCCCATTGTATGTCTTTGGCACTATTTCGTGAAGCTACAGTGCCATATAGGAGACCTGTCCGTTTCAACATTTACAGTAGAATTTTGAGAGGCGGATTTAATGGGCCTATGCTTCAATTTGGGGTACTATAGCAGTTTGACTGTTCAAAAAAACCCCACAAAGGCCTACCATTTATAAAAGTAGACACTCCAGGGTATCTCATATGGTGCATATTGTGCCTTAACATGCCCCCATTTTTTCACCAATATATGCCAAAGTATGTGGTAAAAAATAATTTTGGGCATTTTTTACATACGGATTACATTTTTGCTGGGCATTTTGTACATTTCATATGTGCCACTAAGTTCAAACCCCCAAATTATGCTCAGCTAAGTCTTCTGAGTAAAACAATATGCCCAATGTATGACCTAGACACTATTTTGTGAAGTTACACTGCTATAAAAGAGACGTAACAAGTTAAGGTTTTTAAGTGTGAATTTTCATGGAGGGTTTTGATGCGTCCGTGCCCACTTTGGAGCACTTGAGCAGGCTACATATTACAACTATACCATAAAGGCATACCATTTCTTAAAGAACACATCCCAGGGTATTTCAAAAGGCATATTTTGAACCTTAGCGTGGGATAATTTTTCCGCTAGCTTGTACCAAGTGTAATGGTAATAAGCGTTTTTTTGCCTTTTTGACACACAAAGTAAATTTGCGCAGTACATTTTGCAAATCTTATGTGTGCTACGACTGTATAATACTTCATATGTTGCTCAGCTATGTCGGCTGAGTACATCAATACCCCCGTATGTACCTTTGCCAGGTATATGTGGACATCGGAGGGGCACATTTGGGACACAGCCATTCCAGTTCATTTCAAACTTTAAATTTTTACACTGTTCCCATGTCCCATTTTAGAGTATTTTACCAGGCTATATAATCCAAATACCCCATAAAGCCATACCATTTCTTAAAGAAGACATCCCGGGGTAATTCAAAAGGCATATTTTGAACCTTAGCGTGGGATAATTTTTCCGCTAGCTTGTACCAAGTGTAGTGGTAATAAGCATTTTTTCTGCCTTTTTGACACACAAAGTGAGTTTGCGCAGTATATTTTGCAAACCTTATGTGTACTACGACTGTATACTACTTCATATGTTGTTCAGCTATGTCGCTGAGTACAGCAATACCCCCGTATGTACCTTTGCCAGGTATATGTGGACATTGAAGGGGCACATTTGAGACACAGCCATTCCAGTTTTTTCCAAACTTTGAATTTTTACGCTGTGTCCATGTCCCATTTTAGAGTATTTTACAAGGCTATATCATCCAATTACACCATAAAGGCATATCATTTCTTAAAGAAGACATCCCAGGGTAATTCAAAAGGCATATTTTGAACCTTAGCGTGGGATAATATTTCCGCTAGCTTGTACCAAGTGTAGTGGTAATGAGCATTTTTAAATGTATTTTTTTACTTTGTAAAACTTTTTTTACTTTGTAAAACCCATTTTTAAACTTTTTTTTTTACTTATTAAATGTTTTACACTATCTTAACTTTTTTTACACTTTTAATTTTTTTTCTAAACTTTTCTTTTACCGTTAACCCCTAACTAGCAGTAAGCAGCACTAACCGTAAATTCCCCATTTTCCCATAACTCCCACCCACCCCAGCTAGCAAAATATTTAATTATAAAATATTTAAATTAATTAATTAAATAAATGGAACCCCTGAGGGTTAAAAAAAATAAATAAAAGTTAATCCTCAGGGGTTAAAAAAATTAGATCACAGTATAATACTGTGATCTGTATTTTGATCACTGTAGGCAGTGATCAGCTGGCAGGGAAGGGGTTAATTTTTATTTAGACTGGGTAAAGGGGGTGGTATTTTTTTTTTTTTTTACTTAAACGTTACTAAAACATTTAAAAAAAATATTTTTTTTACCTTTTTAAAGCTTATTTTAAAACTTTTTTTAACGTTAACCCCTAGTTAGCCTAACACCAAATTCCCCAATTCCCCACTAACTTCCACCCATCCCAGCTAGCTAAATATATAATTTTTTAATATTTAAATTAATTAATAAAATAAATTTAACCCCTGAGGGTTAAAAAAAAAATAATTAACCCTCAGGGGTTAAAAAAAAAAAATCAGATGACATTAAAATGTATACCCTGCCAATTGATCACTGTAGTCAGTGATCAATTGGCAGGGAAGGGGTTAATTTTATTAAAACAGGGGCAGGGGGGGTGGGATTTAACTTTAATTTTTTTTTTTTTACACAGGGAAGCAGATCAGCACTGATCCGTCTCCCTGCACTTCACACAGAACCCGGAAGTGCAGGGAGGCAGAAGGTGAGTATGTGGAGCACATGTGCTCGCTCTGACATGCTGTCAGAGCGAGCACCGGTGCTGGGGCAGCCCGATCGGGTGCTCCCGGTCTGCCTCTAATGCAGAGGCAGACCGGAGCACCGTTAACCCTGCGATTGCCGTGATCGCGGCGATCTGGGGTTAACTTAAGAAAATGACGGAAATTTTCCGTCAACGGTCCTTAACTGAAGGACAAGGTTGACGGAAAATTTCCGTCCACGGTCGGGAAGGGGTTAAATGGACACTATAGTCCCCAGAACCACTGCAGCTTAATAAAGTTGTTCTGGTGTCTATAGTTTGTCCCTTCAGGCCTTTTAATGTAAACACACACTGTGTGCAGCAATGGCACTAGTTCATATGGCAGATCATATGGGTGGGGCATTGCGATGTCCCGGGGGGTGAGAGCAAATTTTTATTTTGCCCAGGGCATCAAAAATCTTTGCACCGGCCCTGGGTGTAGGGGAAATATTGAGACAAAGTAGTCCCTACTGTGTCTGTATATCTCTTGGGGGGGTGGGGTGGCAAATCTTTCTTTTGCCTAGGGTGGCAAAAATCCTTGCACCGGCCCTTGAGAGACATCACCAGCTGCTAGAAGTAGGAGGAGAGAAAGTGACAGGAGGTGTGAATGGGTTTTGTATGCATGGGGTCTAGGATGAGATCGATTGTGGGTTGGAGTGAGAGAGTAGAAAAATGAGTGTAAGGCATGAGATGAGAGAAGGGGGGAGTGTAGCAGAGAAGGGCATATGTAAATGTGGATGGGGGGATGAGTGAAGTGGGTGTAAGGAGAGATTTTTATACTGAGGGAGACTGAGGAAATAAAGAGGAGGAGAAAACAGATCATTGCTAAACTGTGAAAAATAAAAATTGGAGATAATTGGAATATCAAGAGCAGGTGAAGGTGTTTTATGGGTTAAGAAAGTGCAGGAGTGTACTAATAAGAGGCAGGTTTTTTTTAACCTAACTAAAATGTAGGTGTGACAGACAATCTATAAATGTAATAATGAGCGTGGGGAGGGTGGGCATCAGGCTTGCTCACTGAAGGAATGGGCTTGCAAAGTTGGGGAATCAGGCTGTTGAATAAAGAGATGTGAGGGTCAGAGAGCTTGCAATAAAGGTAAGGGAGGGGGAAATGTATCTAGGTACAGAGATGAAGAGATGGGTATTCAAATAAAAACAAACATATCAATAAGAAAAGGGAGGGGTCAGAGGTCAGTCACAAATCAGAGGGGAAATAGAGGAATGCATATAGGTGAATAAAACAATTACATACAGGGCTAGCAAAACTACACTTTAGCATAAAATACAAGATATAAATATGAGAAAACAAGAAAATATATAATGTACACCGGATATATTAAATAAAAATAAAATAAATGTACAGGGTGGTTAAGTTAAAGATAAATAAAGGTGTGCAGGATAGAGTCTTACTGTGGTCTTCCAGAAGGCTACCTTTGCAGACAATCAGGCTTGCTCACTGAAGGAATGGGCTTGCAAAGTTGGGGAATCAGGCTTTGCAGACGATCAGGCTTGCTCACTGAAGGAATGGGCTTGCAAGGTTGGGGAATCAGGCTTTGCAGACGATCAGGCTTGCTCACTGAAGGAATGGGCTTGCAAGGTTGGGGAATCAGGCTTTGCAGATGATCAGGCTTGCTCAATGAAGGAATGGGCTTGCAAAGTTGGGGAATCTGGTTTATTTAATAAATTGTATTGAATATCCCCATAATCCCACATAAACTCAACCTTCTTGCGTAACATGTTGGCTTTAGATATTATAGTAACCAGGAGCCCCAAACCTTATGTTTACATTTAAAAGATGTGATTGCTCAATTAATAACTGTTGCACAGATAAGCATAACCCAAGAAATGCTTTATGAAAACTGCAAAGGTTTCCAGGAATTGCAATTAAATACTCAGTTCTATAATGTAAAAAGCTGTCACATAAAACTACAAGTAAGGCCCTTTCCAGTGGCAAATATACCACCAGTTGGGGACTCCATACTGGAGGGCCAATCAAGTGGCCTATTACCTCAGGGCCCCCCTATGGGTATTGCTTAACAGGGGCCCTACTGTGATGGGATTCCAGCATGGTCAAAATTTAGTAGGCCAAAATCTCCACATGGCATATGCTAATTAGTATCTGGTTACAAACAGTTGGATGAGTCATCAGTATACTGAGCATGTGTGGAAGTGGATAGTAAAATCCTTTGTCTTCAATAAGCCATGTGGTCTGCCATATAAGGTGATCCTGAATATCCTGTGTGCTGATTGGTCTGAGGAATATAGGAGGGGTTATACTGTATGGGAGGGGATATGCTGTTAATAAAAGTCTCATGCACCAGGTATTTGTCCCTCCGAATTTTGGAACAGGAGTTCATCTGAGACCCAATCGATAATGTGAATAAAGGCCTCTTACTTCCTGAAGACTTGTGTCCATATCTCTGTGTTTGGCTTTTGCATGCTTACACTGTTACACTACTAACAGTGTAACTTTTAACAGCGCTATTAATAAGCATTATGTAATTCACCAATAAGGATTGCATGAGGACAGTATGGCTATAACTAAAAAGAAAAATACTGTAAGATGTAACGTAACATTTATTTGCCCTGTCATGTTGAAAAGCTCTGTAGAATGTTCGAACATTGGGAGATCCTGAGGGAGTAAGAGAAGAGAAAGCAATTGGGAAAGGTAAGTTTGGTGTGACAGTGTCGCTTTAACCCCTTAAGGACTGGACCTTTTTTGCGATGTTGTACATTTGCGACCAGGCATATTTTTACACTTTTGTGGTGTTTGTGTTTGGCTGGAATTTTCCGCTCTCTCATTTACTGTTCCCATACAAATTATATATTGTTTTTTTCAGGACAAAAGGGGCTTTCTTTACATACCATTATTTATATAAACTCATGTATTTTAATTTAAAAAAAATAAAAAATATGATGAAAAATTGAAAAAAATACATGTTTTTTGACTTTTACTTGAAAAATCTTTTACTCATCTACAAAAGCGAATGAAAAAAACTGCTAAATAGATTCAAAATTTTGTCCTGAGTTTAAAAATACCTAGTGTTTACGTGCTTTTTTGCTTTTTTTTGCATGTTATAGGGCTATAGGTACAAGTAGGATATTGTGGTTTCAAAACATACATTTTTAAAATTTATCAATAGTGACATTGTAACACTATTATCTGTCATAAATCTCTAAATAACACCCCACATGTACATATTTTTTTTAAAGTAGACAACCCAGGGTATTCAATATGGGGTATGTCCAGTCTTTTTTAGTAGCCACTTAGTCGAAAACACTGGCCAAAGTAAGCATTCATATTTGTTTGTGTGTGAAAAAAGTAAAAAAACTAAATTGAACGCTAATTTTGGCCAGTGTTTGTGACCAAGTGGTTACTAAAAAAGACTGGACATACCCCATTTGCAATACCTTGGGTTGTCTTCTTTTGCAAATGGTATGCCATCATGGGGGTAATTCTCATTCCTGGGCTACCATACGCTCTCAAAGGCAACGTAACCAACCTGGCCATTTTCAATGTAAAAATATTTGACCCATATATTTGACCTTGTAACTTTCAAAAATATAAAACCTGTACATGGGGGGTACTGTTATAAGACATGCTGAACACAAATATTAGTAAAACTGAAAACGATATACAACAATTAGGGTGTCGTAGAACGTTACAGGGTAAAATACAGTGCTAGCAAATTAAATTCTCTGGAATTTCGGCCTGGTTTGGCAGGCAGGTCCCTCAAATTGCAATCCATAAAATTACTGAATTATGTAAAAATATTACGTAAATACGCACGTAGAATTTAAATATATATGCATATTTATATATTTGAAGACTACGTGTATATTTATATAATTTATGTAATTTTGTATATGGACATATGTATATTTCGTATTTTTATTTATATATACATAGATATATCAAAATACACTTAGAATGAATTTGTATATATAACTATATATATTAATTTTAAAATGCAGTTAGAATAAAATTTCATATAGATATATAATTTTTTTTAAATTTTTTATTTAAAAAAATTATTTAATTTAAATTATTATTTATATTTTATAATAATATATACAATATATAGTTATTATATATATATATACGTGTGTAATTTAATTATAAGTGTATTTTTATATTAATATAAGTACATATTAATATAAAAATACACTTAGTATGGCATTATATATATGATATATAGACATATATTATATAGATATAATATATGTCTATATATCATATATACACATATATAATTATTTTATTTTTTTATTAACACTAACTTTATTTATTTTTTTGATTTTACACTAGCAGGGAGACTGCCTGTCAGCACAGACAGTCCCCCTGCAGGCAGACACATGGACACCTATTGTGACCATGTGATCGCTGTGTTGAGCAATCACATGGCCACAGGGGTCCTAATTCAGTGTGGGGAGACTGTCTGGGCTGCAGGCAGTCTCCCCACAACCGGAGCCACGCTGATCGCCGCCGGGGGAATGATGGCGATCAGGTAAGTAACGGAGACCGTTAGGACGGTTCAGGACCGTCATCGGTCGGCAATGTAAAAATGCAGATGACGGTCCTGAACCGTCCTCGGTCGCGAAGGTGTTAATATAAAAGAGGCGAATTATGGTTTAACAGATATATTGCTCGAATTCCAGGTTTTGTTTACGTTTTGTTGTTTTTATCAGAACTTGTACAATTGCCTCTGTCCCTAAGGTACAAAGATACTAGCGCTTTGTATAAATTTTGAAAATAGGTGGAGTATCCAAAAAATAATTTTAAGAAAAGTAGCAGCTAAACACCAAAAAGTGTAACTTTTCCAAAACAACACTAACAAATAGTACAAAGATTAAAAGTGTAGCGCTTATGAAAAGGCAATTATTACCTTACTGTTTTAAACTGTGCTACTCTATTGAACCCTCAGGGGTTCAATTTATTTAATTAATTAATTTAGATATTTTATAATTATATATTTTGCTAGCTCGGGTGGGTGGGAGTTATGGGAAAGTGGGGAATCTACGGTTAGTGTTGCTTACTGCTTGTTAGGGGTTAACGGTAAAAAAAAGAAAAAGCTTATAAAAATGTTAAACCAGTAAAAAAAAGTTTTAAGAAAGTTTAGGAATGTTTTAAAAAATTAATGAGCTAAACAAAAGTTTAAAAACTAGTTTAAAAAAAAATACATGTAAAAACGCTCATTACCACTACACCTGGAACAAACTAGAGAAAAAAAATGATCCCACGCTAAGGTTCAAAATATGCCTTTTGAAATACCCCATGGTGTATTCTTAATAAATAGTATGTGTTTGTGGGGAAGTTTCAATAACCAACTATCTAAACTACTCCAAAATGATACATGGACACAGCGTAAAACGTCAAAGTTAGAAAAAAAAACTGATGGCTGCGTCTCAAATGTGCCCCTTCAACATCCACATATACCTGGCAAAGGTACACACGGGGGTATTGCTGTACTAAGACAACATAGCTGAGCAACATATGTAGTACACATACATAAGGTTTGCAAAATATACTGTGCAAACACTTTGTGTGTCAAAAGGCAGAAAAAACGCTTATTATCACTACACTTGGTACAAGCTAGCGGAAAAATTATCCCACGCTAAGGTTCAAAATATGCCTTTTGAAATACCCCATGGTGTATTCTTAATAAATAGTATGTGTTTGTGGGGAAGTTTCAATAACCAACTATCTAAACTACTCCAAAATGATACATGGACACAGCGTAAAACGTCAAAGTTAGAAAAAAAAACTGATGGCTGCGTCTCAAATGTGCCCCTTCAACATCCACATATACCTGGCAAAGGTACACACGGGGGTATTGCTGTACTAAGACAACATAGCTGAGCAACATATGTAGTCATAGCATTATACATAAGGTTTGCAAAATATACTGTGCAAACACTTTGTGTGTCAAAAGGCAGAAAAAACGCTTATTATCACTACACTTGGTACAAGCTAGCGGAAAAATTATCCCACGCTAAGGTTCAAAATATGCCTTTTTAAATACCCTGGGATGTCGTATTTAAGAAACTGTATGCCTTTATGGGGTAGTTGGAATATATAGCCTGCTAAAATGGGACATGGACACAACGTAAAAATTCAAAGTTTGAAAAAAACTGGAATGGCTGTCTCTCAAATGTGCTCCTTCCATGTCCCCATATACCTGGCAAAGGTACTTATGGGGATATTGCTGTACTCAGACGACATAGCTGAGCAACATATGTAGTATTATACAGTCATAGCACGCATAAGGTTTGCAAAATATACTGTGCAAACTCACTTTGTGTGTCAAAAAGGCAGAATAAATGCTTATTACCACTACACTTGGTACAAGCTAGCGGAAAAATGATCCCACGCTAAGGTTCTTTTAAAATACCCTGGGATGTCTTCTTATAGCAGAAAAATTGGCTGTATATGCTAAGGTTCAAAATATGCCTTTTGACGTATACCCTGAGATGTCTTCTTTAAGGAATGGTATCAAAATATCTGGTGTGGTTGTAATATGTAGCCTGCTCAAGTGCTCCAAAGTGGGACACGGACGCATCAAAACCCTCCATGAAAATTCACACTTAAAAACCTGAACTTGTAACGTCTCTTTTACAACACTGTAACTTCACAAAATAGCGTCTAGGTCATACATTGGGCATATTGTTTTACTCAGAAGGTGTAACTGAGTATAATCTGGGTATTTTTATGACAGTGGTACATATTAAGTGTAAGAAATACTCAGCCAAAATGCAACATATATGTAAAAATGCCATTCCTCCCCCCCCCCCCCCAGCACAAACATTGACATGAATTGGTGAAAAAATGGTGACAAGTTAAGGCACAATATACACCATATAAGATACCCTGGGGTGTCTGCTTTATCAAATGAAAGCCCTTTGTGGGGTTATTTGCAGGGCCGGTGCAAGGATTTTTGCCGCCCTAGGCAAAAGTAAAGTTTGCCGCCCCCCCCCCCGTGACATCACAATGTCCCACCCATATGACCTGCCATGTTAACTAACGCTAGTGCTGCAGTGCCGCTGTGTTTACATTAAAAGGCCTGCAGGGACAGGCTATAGACACCAGAACCACTA